ATGGATGGATGGATGGATGGATGGATGGATGGATGGATGGATGGATGGATGGATGATCACCCCTGACTGGTTTCAACAGCAGGAACATAGCTTCACCTTTTCTAGTCCAAGGGTTCCCAAAGGGACAAAGGACAGATGAGGACAAAAGGACAGGACACAAGTAGTCCAGGCTACATTATGAAATTGGAAAAGTTACTCCTTTCCTGTGTCTAGTCGGGGGTGAGTCAAGGGAGTTGGGAACATGTGGCTGGAATAGACAAGACAGCCTTGGAAATAAACTATCTTGGAGTATTCAAGTTCTAAAAGTTGACACATCACTTAGTTTTCATTTGTCATGTACTTGCTGAGTGTATAGTGAATGATATCAAGAATGAAATTATTGTGGGTGTGGTGACACACACCTTTATTCCCAGCATTCAGGAAGCAAAGATTTCCGTGAGTTGGAGGCCAGCCTGTTCTACATAGTGACTCCTAGGAAAGCCAGGGCTACATAGTGAAACCTTGTCTCAACCACAGTGAATGGATCATGAAGGAAGCATAGATGAGTGATAAAACCTAGTCAGGCAAGCTACATCCAGGCTCAGAAAAACTCGTGTGTGTGTGTGTGTGTGTGTGTGTGTGTGTGTGTGTGTGTGTGTGTAGGCATGTAGGCCTGAGAACAACTTTGAGCGTCGTTCTTAGGAATGTCATCTACCTCCATTGAAACAGGGTCTCTTGTTGGCCTGAAGTTCACAGTCAGGCTCGACTGGATGGCCATTTAGCCCTAGGGATCCTCCTATCTCTGCCTCCCCTGCCCTGGGATTATAGGCACGCTCCACTGTATCTGGATTTTATGTGGGTTCTGAGGATCAAGCCGAGGTCCTCATGCTTGCAAGGCAGGTACCTTAACCACTGAGCTATCTCCCAGTTTAGAAGAACTTTCACCCCCACACACGCAGGACAATTTAAGGAGATGTAGTCTCTTACTTGAGTGTGTTGTGGTTTCTTGGACTCTCAGAGCAGGGAGCTAAGAGTCATAGGTTCTCCAAGGAGTAAGTGAAGCCTTAGAATGTTCAAAACTCCAGCTTTATCATACAAAAACAAGAGGAACCTTAAGATCAAACTCATCTTATTCTCCTACTATGTGTATGAAAATGTAAAG